CCTGGGAGTTGCAGGGAAGTAGGCTGCCATTCGGCTGGCGTTTAACTAGGACGGGCCATTTTCAATGGCTGCCGCTGTAATTATACATCAGTATATATTAGCATTTTGTTTTACTGGATAGTCTGAAATCAAATCATGCAATAGTCCAATCTATCGTTCATTCATTCATTGACTAATTCAACTAATGTAATGCAAACTGACCTTTACATAAAACAGCACAAATGTAATCCAATACTGAATGTAAAATCTGAAAAATTTGATTTTTGATCCTCAGTAAAGCTCTTATGATAAAATGTATTTTGTATTTTGATTTGATTCTCTTGAGTATTTCTAAGAGGTCAGTATTTACCTGCTTTTATAGCCATTCTGAGCAATTTTAGTCTTTATTCAGGATCAAGATAACAGCCCTGTAGTCAATTTAACAGCTAGTAAGCAGTGATGGGACTAACGGCGTTGAAACTAACGGCGTTACTAACGCCGTTACCTTGTTTTAGTAACGAGTAATCTAACTAATTACTTTGACTGTAACTATAACGCAGTTACCATTGCAGGCACCCCGTTACTGCGCGTTACTCAGGTCGCACAATGAACCTTTTTTCATTATAGGACTCGTGCGCAGCTGCGTGAAGCTGACACCCCACCCACATCAAAAAACTCTGCAAATAGACTGAATGGTTAGTGCAACGTTAGTGCAGATTTGTGCAGAAAAAAATATTGTTTGTTCTACTTTTGTTTAAGAGATATTAAAGATTATTTTTTTAGGTCATCCAGAGGTGCGCGCCTTGTCATGAGAGAGGGGAGGATGAGATTCCGTCTGTCAGTTGAATAGGTGGGTGTTTCTGCTGGTGGGTGTTAACGTACAGCACACACAGAGAGATGGAGAGTGAGGATGACTCCAGCAGCAAAACAGCGTTTTCCACATGGAAATACCGGTGTTACGTCGAGCTGCGTTTCCCCATCACATAACGGTTACCTCTGCATCTCCACACAGCGCAGGCGGCAAGAGTCACCGCGCAAGCGACAGGAAACGCGCATGCTCGCTAAAGGCGCGCAACAGTCGCTCTGTGCTCGCGCCACAGGAGAACTATAGAGAGCGTGAACGATCAAATGAACCTGACAACAGCCAGAAATGATAGCCTGTATGGAGAAAGGGAGAAATCTGGATGGATGGATGGATGGATGGATGGATGGATGGATGGATGGATGGATGGATGGATGGATGGATGGATGGATGGATGGATGGATGGATACTCTGCCTTCTCAACCTACTGTATTTTTTATTTTAAACATTATTTGATGGCCTTTGTGGCAGGGATGGAGATCCATATTTTATGTCACACACAGAGTATACATCTAGATAGATAGATAGATAGATAGATGATAGATGTTGCAGTATCTATAACAACCCAAACACACAGGATTTCAGAATTAGACATCCCCAGTTATTAATTTCATATACTCACCGGACCTGAATGTCCTGTTATAAAACTTCACATCGCGTTCCCCCTGATGTCATTTACGTTGAGTTGCAATAAATGCTAAACTGTCTGCAGGTTCTTGTCTTTGTCGTCCGCTCTATTCAGCTGGCTTTGGAAACACAGGCGAGAAGGTGGGGGCCGGGTGGTGAGGTTTACGGGGGCGAGAAACGCAAAAGTAACGCAATAGTTACTTTTACTAGTAACTAGTTACTTTTATTGTGGAGTAACTCAGTTAGTAACTCAGTTACTTTTTGGGAGAAGTAACTAGTAACTATAACTAATTACTTTTTCAAAGTAACGTGCCCAACACTGCTAGTAAGTGTCAAACCAACTGCTTTCCATTTCCATTCATTTTGAATCACAGCTGATGGTCTCAAACACATTTATAAGGCAAGAAATCCCACTTATTAAACCTGACAGGGGACACCTGTAAAGTGAAAACCATTTCAGGTGAATACCTCTTGAAGCTAATCAAGACAATGCCAAGAGTGTGTGAAGCAGTAATCAAAGAATATTTTCAGCTGTTTCACACTTTTTTGTCAAGTATATAATGCCACATGTGTTAAATTATAGTTTTCATGGCTTCAGTGTGAATCTACAATTTTCCTATTCATGAAAATAAAGAAAACTCCTTGAATGAGAAGGCGTGTCCAAACTTCTGGTATGTGCTGTATTTTTCTATTCAATATTAATATGATAAACACAAACTAATGTGTATATATATATAAACATGTAAATAAATGTATATATATATAACTGTTTATATTTTAATATATATCTGCAGTTTTATATTGCAGCATTTTATAATACTGATTTTATGCATGTTTTTTTCTCAAGATTTAAAACTGATTCTTTTGTTTGGAAATGATCCAGTCTGTTCTCAGACTGGATTGCTGGGACTGTATAAACATTTTTCTTAACTTACTTGAATTTTACTGCTGTGTAGTTATATTATATCAACATGAATTAGTAATTAACAAAGTAATAGTAGTTAAAAGACTGAAAGGACAAAGTAAAGGGCATTTTCTCTAGTTAATTATTTATTACTGTATTTTCACGACTATAAGGCGCACCTAAACGTCTTTTTTTCCCCTCAAAATGTGGGGTGTGCCCTATGGTGCGGTGCGCCCTATGGTGCGGTGCGCCCTATCTGCGGACGTTGTTGAGACCACCATGAGTATGTGAGAACGTTAAAGGGGGAAGTGTGGGCGTGGCTTGTGTATAAAAGAACAGGTATGTGCTTTATGCAGAACATTGTTGTCTTAACAACCCTGGAAATGGCAAAGAGACACGCCTATGAAGCCCAGTTTAAACTGCAGGCTATCAGCTACGCAGAGGAACATGGAAATCAAGCAGCTGCGAGATAATTCAATATAAATGAATCGATGGTTCGCAAGTGGAGGAAGCTGGAAAACGAACTCCGACTGGTGAAGAAGACGCAGCTGAGTTTCCGCGGACATAAGGCGAGGTGGCCCGAGTTGGAGGAAAGACTCGAGCGGTGGATCGTGGAGCAAAGAATGAGTGGGGCCAGCGTTTCAACGGTCAATGTTCGACTAAAAGCAGTAAAGCTGGCGGAAGAAATGAAAATTGAAAATTTTCAAGGAGGTCCATCGTGGTGCTTCCGTTTTATGAAACGGTGCAATTTTTCCATCCGGACCAGGACTACAGTAGCTCAGCGACGTCCGGCGGATTATGATGAAAAGCTGGCGAGCTTCCACTCCTTCTGCAGCAAACACATCGCTGACAAAGTCATCCAGCCAAGCCACATCACCAACATGGACGAGGTGCCGCTCACTTTCGACATCCCGGTGAATCACACGGTGGAGAAGAAGGGGACCAGCACTGTAGCGATACACAGAACGGGGTATGAAAAGGCGTCGTTTACTGCTGTGCTTGGCTGCCACGCAAATGGACAGAAACTGCCGCCTATGGTGATTTTTAAAAGAAAGACTTTGCCTAAAGAGACTTTTCCAGCTGGAGTCGTTATTAAAGCAAATGAAAAAGGCTGGATGGATGAGGAGATGATGAAAGCGTGGCTGAGGGAGGTGTATGTGAGGAGACCAGGTGGTTTTTACCACGCATCACCATCGCTGTTAATCTGTGACTCCATGGGTGCCCATCTCACAGCCGATGTGAAAAAAAAGGTCAAAGAAATGAACGCTGTGCTTGCTGTTATTCCGGGAGGTCTGAGAAAGGAACTTCAACCGCTCAACATCGGTGTGAACCGGCCGTTCAAAGTAAGGCTGCGAGCGGCGTGGGAGCGATGGATGACAGACGGAGATCAGAGTTTCACTTAAAGTGGAAGGCAGCGCCGGGCAAGTTACGCCACCGTTTGCGGATGGATTGTAGATGCTTGGGCTAACGTTTCTGCTGGGACAGTTGTTCGAGCTTTCGCAAAAGCCGGCATCATTTCCAAGGAGCCGCACGGCACGGAAAGTGACTCTGACAGCGAAGAAGAAGGGAAAACTGGCATGTCTGATTTAGCGCAGCTGTTTAATTCAGAAACAGAGGATGAGGACTTTGAGGGGTTTGATTAATACTTTGTAATAAATAGATGAATAAAGCACAAACATACTCAGTCTACCTGAAAACTTAATTCAACAGCAGCCTCTGGGCCGCGGCGCATCCGGGTTCACCTCGGCAGCTGGCAGGTGTTTTTTCATCTAAATAATCTAAATCTTTTTAAGTGAGAAAGTCCACCTGAAAACTTAATCATTGCAGTCAGTTCATCCAGATTATTATCCTGCCTATTCCATTTCTGTCGGAGCCGCTCAGACCCCCACATACCAGCGGTGCGCCGACAGCAGGAATCCCTTCAACAGCAGCCTCTGGCCGGGTCGCCTCCTCGCCTCCTCGCTGGCAGGTGTTTTTCATCGAAATAATCTAAACCGCAGGCAGCAGGATAATAAAAGTGAATATATTCTGTTGGCAGGTTTTAAGTTAATTTATGCGTCAATAAACTGTATCAGAGGAGTAATCACAGCCCTGTGTCATCAGCGATGTGTCTCTCATGGCCAGCTCCCAGGTTTGAATAATACTTTGTAATAAATACACCTTGCAGCTTTATTTGCTGTGATCAGTGGGAATAAAGTAGTTTTAATGTTTTTAAGTGGGAAAATCCACCTGAGAGGACATGTACCTGTATATAAAAAACGCGCCCTATAGTCCGGTGCGCCTTATGTGTGTGTTAAATACAGAAATGGCACACATGGAACTCATGTCACTTGTTATTTATTCCACATGTTCACATTAGGGTATTTTTTTATAGTAGAACTTTGGTTCTACTGCTATATAGACTCATGAAGATTCCTCTGGTTTTTGATGTGTGATCCACATTCACTTCTGTTCATCACAGGTAAGTTATTAACTTACCTGTAATTTTCCAACATAACTCAAAGCAGATCAATCTTTGCAATGTTGGAGTCCTAACTGTGATATAATACATTCAGTAGAATCTCAAGGCAATGGGGACTGACAAGCACCAAATTTAGAGCTGAGCTGTTTGCGTGTGTTTAAACATACCAATGGCCAAATTAGCAATGAAGAAGTTGGTGACGGTTCGCAGTGTCTTGAAGCGATAGATGACATAGATGACCAAAGAGTTACCCAGAACCCCCAGCACGATGATAGTGCTGTAGGCCAAGATCAACACCACCTTCAAACAGGCAAAAGTAAGCAGCTGTCAGAAATATTTATGCTGATGTGAACTTTTGTACTATTAACCTTTTATTTCATTCAGTTAGAGACGGAGGCTATTCTAGGAATACTGGAAATAGGAATGTGATCTGTACCTGAACACTCAGCAATCGGATGGGGTCCTCTGGAAAATTCACTCCCTCAAATCCTGTGGGCAGGACCGGGGGAGGGATGCCGACATTTGGCGGGTAATCATGGTAGCCGAGGTTGTTGGGGTCAACGTCAGGCGGGGTCAGGAAGCGGAGCTCCTCCTGTGTGGTGTTGACTTCACCGAAGGCCTCCATGTCCGGTCATACGTGTCCGACCAGCAGCTCCATTTCATTCCAGCTCGCACCTCCTGGTGAACAAAGAAGAAAGAAACGTTAATAACAAGTCAAATGTTGGATTTACAGCAGCGGCTCTTATGAGGGATAATTATGTATAAAATGGACGTTTTCAAGAGGTACTTAGATAAATTGGTTCAGTTCTGCTGTATTTGTTTATTTTCATGTCATTGAAAAAGTCTATGGCTCCTTTTGCTTATTGTTTCTGACGAGGCAAATCACAAACGGAGGTAGACGACATGTATTCTAGTTTGTAGTGGATCAAGGACCTAATCATAATCACTGGCAGCTCATTCCGGTGACAGAAGGACTGAAAGCATCTTTCTGACTTAAAACGCTCAAATCAATTAACCACTTTACACCTCTGAGAGCAGATAAAAGCCGCCATGAATGTCCTCAAAAAAAGGTTACATGGCAGTACTAGCACTAGCAAATAAACTCTGATCTATATAAATATGAACTTACATTTCCCGACACAAACGTAGGATCACACAGGCAGCCAATGTACCTTAATGCCTTTATACATGCTAACTCAAAAATGGGCTTTTGTTTAAGGTTAAAGAATATCCTCATATGACCACATTTCACACCTTTATTAGCAACTAAAGAAGAAAAAAATAGATGTTGAGAAAACTCAAAATTCTCAGTAGATTATTGATTTTAAAAACTAATAATTTCATTAATATAAACAAAGGTGTTTAGATGGTAAAACAGGTCTAAGAGAAGTCCAGTTCCATTTTGGTTTTTGGTATGTACAGAAAACATAAAAACAGGTGTACAAGTGCAACTTAAAATAACTATAATAAACTTTAAAAAGTTCTTATATTTTCTTTTAAAAGAAAATATAACTCAAACATGCAAAGAAGCGTATATATTTATAATTAATTCTCATGGTTACTACTTACAGATAGAAAAAAAAGACTTTATCAAGAAATTAAAAATTATGTGAAAGCACAACAAATATGAAAGAATAGACTCTTGGGAGGAAGGAAATAGTTTGATAGGTGAGGTAGTATCAGAAACAGGGATAACTACAGCCTTAAGATGATTGTCAAGTAAAACCTGTTTAGGAATTTAGTAAAGCTTTTTTTTTTTTTTTTTTTTAACAGTATCCTGTCTGGCAATGTGGCAATAAGAATAATTGTCTTTATGCCAAAAAGAGCCCAACAGATTTTACTTTCACAAGTGTAGCAGTAGGGCTATCGCCATAATACTCCACTTGTTTCATGCATATAAATTGCTTTTTTATAATTATGCAGGGAGTTTTACAGTTTATATGGACACTGCAATGTAAATAGAACAGAAGAGGAAAAATAGAAGAAGAAAAAATACTTATATTTTGCCAAAAGTCCAATTGAAACATTTTTTAGCATCACATGAGTCATGCGATCCACAACTAGACTTTACTGCCTTGTGAAAACATGAAGAAGACTTGAGCTAGTTGGACGATTATGGCGCCGACTAGAGCTTTGGTTGAAATATGGATACACCTCATCTGCTTACATCTGAATTATCACATAAATAAACACACTCACATTCAATATTAATGCTGCTATTTAACAGAAACACAGCAATTGCAAAACTTTGCATTTTCAAAATTAGCAGAATACTTTTTCTTTTTTTTTTAGCAGTATACTCTTATAGTTTTTCCCACATTTGTAAACTAGTGACAACTCTGTTGGTTCTGGTCCAGTACATCTGAAAGTACAGGTGTAAACACATCAGAAAATACATACATCCTACAGTTCGTATGGTACAGAAACAGTGTAACTGTTTTTAGAAAATTAGTCAGATCATTCTGGATTATTTACCACTAATCTGGTCAGATTGTGCAGGTTGTTTATCTGTCAGTGAAGTAGTACATTTTATTTCTTAGAAAAATCAGCAAGCTTAAATGAGATTGAATACAAGCCGAAGAGAACATGGAGTCAAACCTTATCTGCACTTACTTACACCAGATTATTTGATCATGTAGTGTGGGCTATAATCTGATTCTGGTCAGAATCCGTCCTTTTTTTCAGGTCAACAGATTAAGAACAAAACAGGTGGACATGACCTGATTTTCATTTTCTTTCACATGAGTGTAGAAAATATTAAAAAAGAAAGAAAAGGGGCTTATGGCAGCAAAGGTACAATAAGAACCAGCTCAACATTTTGAATTTGTGTTTATCTCTTCTCTACACAACATATTATTGCTCATATTTATTACTTTTAATATACTTCAGAGCTGAACTGAATGCTCACTAAACTGGAGTTTTAGATTTCCCTATAACAGTAACCCTTTTTATTTTATGTGTGGTGTGTAAACAAAGTTAAAGACTAGAATAAAGAGAAAAATAGCTGTTGTTTTATATTCTATACAGTTGACACCAGATATTTCATAAACTGTTTAAAGACAAATAAGCTTTTAATCCCTGTTGAACATTAAATCCGATTTAATCTTTTCTGTTTCTGGTCAATTAGGATTTGTAGTCCAATTAATCCCGAGGTACAGTCTCCATACACTTTATCTGTGATACAATATAAAGATCAAGGGAATGTCCAGCCATCGTAATGATCAGGTTAGAGACTCTGTGTTAGAGGCTCTGTGTCCCAAAGATGAGGGGACCACAAAAAGATAATAATCTGGTGAAGATGGAGACTGGAAATGGTCAGAGAGACACTATCCATGAGAAAGAGGTCCTGAAGGGCCACCCAGAGACAAAGAGCCACAAATCCAACAGTTGTAAGTTATAAAGTCTTGGGGTCTGATGAAACTGAATACTACCCCGAAACAAACACTTGGAATTCTCTTAATCCTGCAAAAATATTTTTTTTCCGGAGTGAATCAAGTTTGATTGAACCTGAAATAATGACTTTGTACACACGAGTGTATACAAAAATAAATTTTGTTTAAAACAGCTCTAGACAATTTCATTCTTTTTAAAGTGCAGCCTTGAAAACAGTAATAAATACATAAAAAAAATATTGATATAAACATATGACTGTATATTTACAGTTCTAACATGAATTTTTTTTTTTATATATAAATAAAATAACTTATTTTACACAACATTCAGTAGTCTAATGGCAGGAGAAATAAATAAATAAATAATGCCTAGAACTGTACCCCCGAGGGTTATACCTGGGTTTATTCAGCACGGTATATCCTGGGGTGGTTCGATTGCAATGTGAATGCGTCCCTAAGGTATAAAAGCAGGATGTGATGTGAGGGAATTGCACTGGAGTAGAATAAGAGCTTAATACTAAGCTACAGCTTCAGCTATTTAGAGGTCTGAATACCCGTATAAAAGTTTTTTTTTTTTTTTTTTTTATAGGCTTTTATACATGTACTTACTGCATGTCCATAAGATACTCTTCCTTTAGTCGTGGCTGTTTTGTCAGATTTTGTTTCTTCTAAATGTGGAAGCAGCCTTCCCAGAGTTATTCTGTATTTTCTTTTTAGGGGGGTCACATGCCGAAGGCATGGCCCCACTACTACTATTGCACATATTTATTCTGCGTATTATTATAGTTCTTTTTTCCTTTGTTCTCCCTCTCACTTTCTCTTTCCCCTTATTCTTGTCCCCCTTCCCTTTCCATCTCCATGCCCATCTAATATGATTTTTTTCCCCCAAAGCCACTTCTAATGAAGTTAGCACATAATTACCAAGTAAAACCTTGTGGCTACAGTCATGACGGTCCACTTGTGAACAAAAATCCAATAGCAGGACAGTAATTCGCAGTCATTGGCAAACAGGATACTTTGGGGGAAAAAAAGAGGATGAGAGTAGAGTATGAAAATGTCTGGTTACCTTGAGTGGTGAAGGGGTGCAGGCACAAAACTAAGTTTGAGCTCAAAGTAGCAGAAACACCATAAGTGAAGGTTTGTTCTCCAACTAAAGGTGCGAGTTTTCTCACTTTAATCGTTGCCTGGAGAGATTCCTGGTCCTTACCAGTAGTGTGAATGCTCCCTAAGTTCTATTCAATCAAGTATCTAATCATAATGGCCATAGTTATATTTGAAAGAAAAAGGAGGGATTTCTCAGGCCTTGAAACACCATCCAACCTAAGACCCAATGGGCTTGACTCACGGGGGGTGAGAAGTGACAGATGGCTGTCATTGCCACAACTGTGAAAGCCAAAACAACAGATGCTAAAGTCATGGCCGTGGTTGAAATTCACAGCCTCAGGTAGCTTGGCTCCAAAAAAAGGCATTATAAAACTGGACAGAGTTTTAGCAAATGAAAAATAAGATTTTACTATAATATAGGAAGGTCAGAAACAGCAAAAATTATGGTTTTCTTTATACTGAAATGGAAAACTACTGTAACAAGTAGTCAGTCAAAAAGATAGAGATTAAAGTTATTTTGGGAGTGTTTCTTGAAGCTGGAGGGGCAGTGGTGAATTTCTGAAAAGCTGAAGACCGGAACATTAAACCCAAAATTTTGGCACCAATTTGGCTAAAAATCACTTTGTAGGACCAATAAGAACTAAAGGTATATTTGAATACAAAATATGATGTAATGCCAACATCTACCTATGTTTGTTGGTCTCTAGTCTGAAGCTTAAACATTGTGCAGGCCAGACATACATCAAAGTCCATGTAAGTAGCCGCCACTCACAGCTTAGTCCATCCCTGCCCAGAAAGAGCACCATGGCAGAGAAAAACAAAATGGCAGAGTGCCAATTCTCTTGATAAGGTTGTAGCAAAAGGTGCAGCCCAAGTTGAGGTAGAGATTCGTGGGAAAGTTGAGAAGGGAAACTTGTGACACATCTTTTGGTCTTTTTTGGTCTACAGAAAGTTCTCAGCCTGATCTAATGATGAAAGTTTACCTTATATATGTTTTGGTTTGGCAGTCTCTCAATTTATCTAAGGATGGTCAATCTTTTAATAAAGTTTGATTGGACTCAATTCTGTCAAAAATAAAATCCGGCAGTTTTCTAAAAGAAAAACCTGCAGGTTTGGGCAAGAAAAAAAAGTCCAGTTTGTGGACCTTTTCAGAAAAACTCTAGAGAAGGGCAATTCCACAAA